CTTCCTTCCCTCCTTCCGATTTTCCTTCATCTTCTTTCCTTCCTTCCTTCCTTCCTTCCCTCCCTTTATTGGTTCTTCCTTTCTCTCCTTCCATCCTTCCAGTTTCCCTTCATCTTCTTTCCTTTCATCCTTCCATCCCTCTTTCACTATCCTCCCTCCTTCCTTCTCTCCTTCTCGTTTTCCTTACTGTTTTTCCTTTCCTCCATCCCTCCATCTCCCTTTCATTATCTTCCCTCCTTCCTTCTCTCCCTCCATACTTCTGATTTTCCATCGTCTTCTTTCCTTCCCTCCATCTCCCTTTCACTACCCCTCCTTCCTTCTCTCCCTCCTTCCGATTCTCCTTCCTGCCTTTATTTCCTTCTATCCCTCAATCTCCCATTTCACTATCCTTCCTTCCCTCCCTACCTTTGTTTTCCTTCCTTCCTGTTTTTCCTTTCTTCCTCCCTCATCCTCCTTCCTCTGTTTCTTCCCTCCCTTCCTCCCCATCCATCCATCCATCCAAATTAACCAAAACTTCAGAGCTCACTCAAGAAATGCTACTTACAGCAAACAGTAACAACACCAGGGGAGGCACAGTGCTATTTTAATAAATGTCGAAAAATATTAAATTACGGGCTCCCAAGTTCTCTGCGTGAAACCAAGCCACAAGGTGGTCACGATACAATCTTCGCCAGGGAGAACTTTCCGTCTGAAGAGAATCGCACATAACGTCTCTTCCCGTTTATTCCACTGGCCGCACCGAAGAGGACATTCTGTACATTCTGAGACCAGTCTAGATGCCAGAGCAACCTTTCTCCTATCTCAACGCAGCAACTGCGATCTTCACATCAAGGCCACCCTCTTTTATTAAAGATTGAGGTTGAGAAACCCCGATAACCGGGTTTGATGATTTTTGTCCCTCATTTCACCGACCGTGTTAAAAAAAAAAAAAAGTTGCTCAAAGAAACACTTGCCCAGCATCCGAAAAGTTTAAGGAAAGGCCAAAGCAGATTTTCCCAAACAGACACCCCTCCAGATGTGTTGGAAGTGCCCAACCGCCAAACTCTTGGCTGGGCTAAGCTGGACCAAACCATGTTGCACTTAAAGGAGGCCTGCCAAGCGACGGAGTAAAACGTCCGTAGCAAAGTCTGAGGAGCAACTTAACGGAGCCCCTTCCCTTTCAGGTGGTTCTGTAAGCAGAAGAGAGAGCAGAGTTTTAACTTGGAGGCCAACACTCCGATGGTCTTTACGGTCTTTATCCACTTCCGAAATTTCTCCCCAAGGAGTAAAATAAAAGAGGAAACTATTTTGCAACGGCAGCTTTTCACCGCCTGGCAGGCTTGGGCATAATATAAACTTTGACCGGTTTGCCGAACAAGAGAGTCCCTTCGATGCTGCCCTCGGATGGGGGTAGAAGATCCATGCTGTCTCCCCAGGTGGACCGCGAGAGGCCCACGGAGGCTTTGGTTCTGTCTGAACTGTAGGCCAGGAGAAGACAGAGTTCGATTTGACAAGGTTCTGGAGGAAAGGAAGAAGAAAAAAAAAAAAAAGGGAGGGGGGAGGAAAGAGGGAAAGAAATGTCAAATCTGCCAGGTGTCAGGATTCCAGCAATCGCCCTAATGAAACCAATGATTCTCGAGCCAAACTTCAAAAACCTTCAAAGGATTCATTAGAGGCGACATACTGGCACTGCCCTGTGTGAAGCCAACTCTGGCCTACGTCATTTACAGTCCCCTGTGACCCTGTTTCCCCCCTCCCTCCCCCCTGAGTGTCTCATCAACCAGATTCTCCAATTGAGCACAGTTCACGGGCTGGGTGTCATCAATCACATTCTCCAATTACAGGCTGGGTGTCATCAATCACATTCTCCAATTACGGGCTGGGTGTCATCAATCACATTCTCCAATTACGGGCTGGGTGTCATCAATCACATTCTCCAATTACGGGCTGGGTGTCATCA